CAAAAGCGTGGGTGGGAGGCCTTTTAAAATTGACGATAAGGGTTGACGTGGAATAAAAATAAAAAATTAACTAAAAGGAGTGCCAGCTAAGCGGAAACCGGGAATAGAGGTTTTTTAACCGGTCATTTTGCCTCATATGGCCGTTTTTTTAAAGCAAGTGTATGTTGGTGACACTTTTATGAGTAGAAGACCTTATGTGATGATTTGAGAAAAGTAGAAGGCCTTATTTGACCCTTTTCTCTTATATAATTGGTCAAAGTTTAACATCATTGATTTAAAAAGCCAAATTTGGATAAATAAAAAGGGGCATAAGGAGTGGTAAAAATATACTTTGTATGTAATTACATACCACCCACCTTTTGTCCAAGCCGAGCTTTCGCTTGGGGGGGATGCGGAAATTGTCGGACTTGAGATCCCGCAGATGTAGCTTGCTCAGGTTGGGAGGAGCTTAATCCTTTCCCTGATTCTTGGTGTGGGCCCCATGGGCTCGGCCCTCTCATGGTTCCATCCAACCCCAAGGTGGACGTTCAGTCTTTATCCTTTTACATTTGGAGATGATGCAAATGGTGGACCAATGATGTTGGGCCAACCCAATATTCCAATAATGACATGTTTATAGGTTGCAAATGTTTAAAGGAAGTGTTTCTAGGTAAAAGGATTAAGCAGAAATTTAAAGTTTCACTAAGTCAACCTGATCAAAGGACCCAATAACTCAAGGTCTCAGATTAGTCCAATCAGTAAGCCCAACAGGAGTCGGGCAACTAGCCCAATAGAGAGCTATCTAGGGAGTCGTCTACTAGTCCAAAAGGGGGCAATCACCATCTTAGCAGGGAGCCGACCTACCAACCCCATAAAGGCCATCCAGCAGTCTGATAGAGTGCCGACCTACCAGTTCAACATGAAAGCCAACCACTAGCCTGACAAGCAGTTGGTCTACCAGTACAACAAGGAGGGAGCTCGAGCGATCGACCTACTAGTCTCATAGAGCGATGGTCAAGACAATTAATCTACTAATTAACATCTTAGTAAATGCTCTATTGACATAATAGTTAATATCGCATTCAATAGCATGTTAATGTCGTAGTCATTATGATTGATAGTGGTTATGCTTTGTAAACACTTATACAAGGCAACTGAAGTTCAATAATGGCGTATCCTTTATTTCCTACTTGAGTATTCTATCGTAGTTTTCTTAACAAGTTTGTTAACGTCCTTTTTTGCTAACGACCATATTAGAGGTCATTTTTTCAAATAGAATCCATCAAATTTCTATTTTTCTTCTATGAATTCATGACATATCATATTATTATTAAAAATAGAATTCACATAACATCAAACTAGATCAAAAGGGACTTAAATAACTTGTCTCGTCGGATAAGAAAATTTAATCTCTCCATTGAAAAGAGTATCTTCGGACGGGGAGGAAAATAATTAAGGAAAAAGGGACGAAATGAAAAAGGAAAAATAATCAACATGAAAAATAGAATTGTCGAGTCCACCATTAACTCTAACAACTTTGGGGAACAATCTTTTGATAAAACAAATTAGGAAGAAGAAAATTGAATGAAAAAAGAAAGAAAATTTGGGGAAAGAGGGGAAGAAATAAGAAAAAAGAAAAATAGCATATCCTCGCACAAATAAAGGGATGGGGTAGCCGAAAAGAGAAGGAAAAGGGGGGAAAAAGTTGGAGCAAAGAGTTTAGAAGTCACACTGGTTAGGATCAATGATAAAATTCTAGACTGAAATGTCAAAATACTTTCAGATCAGTGCAAGATGAGACTATTTTAAGAAAAATTATGGAAAGTAGTTTTAAATTTTTTTTCAAAGTAAAGGAAAAATGTGTAACAGCCGTAAACAAAGAAATAAGATGATGTTCAAATGTTGGTTTATTTTGAAATTAAATATTATTTTTTAAATAGGATTAAAACATATTACACTTTCTCAAATGGGGGTACCATTATATTCTCATCAAAATAGAAATCACACATTCTCCTCTTTGGGAATTTTTTGCTGTTTTGTTCTTGAAATCCAAATCCTACTTAGAAAATAAAATATAACTAGTCCATTCTTTTAACTTTGGTTCTATTTTGTGTAGTTTCAAGTAAGACTGTTTTTAGAACATGATGAAAGATGAAATTTTAAGTTTTACTTTTCGTGAAAAATATAAATAGTTTTGAATCACATAAATTTTTCTAAAAGTTTGTTTGATAATTATGAAAGTTGGTTGGATCAACTAAATCTACAAAATTGTTGAAGTAATAATTGAAACAACTGAATGCACTGTGATAGAGTATATGGGCTTGGACCCCAAGGCCCACATACTCAACGGCCCAAAAGCCCCGAAACGAGACACCGATGCCATGCGCTTCGTCCAGATGACCCGCGACGTCCAAAGAAGTAGTCATCGGGAATCGTCGTACCACGGCCAGAGGGCCGCATCGTCTGGGGTCGCATCGTCTTGGGTCGCGTCGTCCGGGTCGCATCGTCCGGGCCGCGTCATCCGCGGATCTTAGGCAGAACACGTTTTTCTGTATCATTTTACTAAGTATTGTACTCGGCCCATTAGTGGCCTTATTTCGCCCAAAGAAGGCATGATTATTGTAATGGGCCTCCTAAGCCCAAGGCTAGGGGCCCAAATCCATCTTTTTACCTATAAATAGACCCCAAGGGGCTAGTTATAGGGGATTGGCAAGTTGAGAAATATAATTACTCACTTTCTCTCTCTAGCTCTCACTTCTCTCTAGAATTAATACTCTATCAGACTGAATCGTGAGAAATTATATTGAAAATACATATTACAATTAAAATAAAATCATGCAGGGAAATCTAAAATTGTCTCTTAACCAACTTCACCAATTTCGTAAAGAAATGCAATTTGAAACTAATTAATTTTGATTATTGTACATTTTTTCACGCGAAATCAAAAGTTTGATTACAATGACTGATAAATCTTATAAGACGAAAATAGAGTTTACCAAAGAGATGGTTTCAACTTATTGACTTTATCAATTCATCTTTTATTAAACATAGAACTTTTGATTTCATCGGCTCAATTGTTTAAATTATTAAATAAGTAAGATTGAAGTTGTTTCTACGGTTCAATTGGTTAAAATTGTTGAAGAGAATTATTTTAGTCTTTTTTCACAAATTTTGTACTTTATTAATAACATATATTTTGAATATAATTTTTCTACAATTTAGCAAATTCAGCCGCTACAACCAGAATTCCATCAATTTCAGTAGATTCAACCGATTCAAATGTTACCAAACGGGCTCATAGTAGAGATACTGAATATTGTTGATAAAATGCAAAAAAATATTCGTAGTATAAAAAGAATGAAAGAATAGGAAAAAAATAAGTATGAGTGTATAAGTAGAGCTTGTTTAGTCAAAGAAATGCTGAAAAAAGCGGAAGAGAGGCGCTATGTCTCCTAGGGTTTTACGTGGCCGTACATTGGCGATCTAGGAGTAGTTTTTGGTTGCGAAGCAGATTCTTTTCTTAGTTTTGGATAATAGCGTGCAATGGAGAAATTATGGAGAAGTCCGAAATCATCAATAGGTTTCAATCCGTGAACGAGATGAACAAGAGTTTGGCCCGTGTTTGGCCGATTTTGATGATTTCAATGAACTTACGACCGTTTAATCTTGGAGGGAAAAGGTAACATGATAATGGTCTGTCTCCCTCTTGAACCTCCACAATGGAGTAAACAAGCAGCTAGGGTTTGGTTAACTGCATTTCCTTGCTCTATTTTTATTTTTAATTTAAGCTTTATTTTTCTTTCATTAGACATTTTACATTATTTTTGGATTGTTTGTGTTAGTCACATTATTGGGATGTATAAGGTCGTTATTTACCTTGAAGCTTCCGCATGTTCAACGAAAACTTTCACTAAGATTTGGATGAAGTTTTCTATATCTGATCAGGGACCGAGAGAACTTTTCGGCTATTATATATGAGTCTAGTAAAGTCGGGAAGTGTACGGTGACCTTAAGGGTCTGTAAGAACTCTAATATTGTCCATTTGGTGGTCAACGATTCGCGTTGCTTCTTTGAAGGTGATCGTCTCTGTGTTTGATTGTAGGGCTTTTAGTGAGTCTAGATGGAGTTTTTTAGAAGATAGATGGTGGAGTTTTAAGTTGTTGGCTAATTTTAACTCCGAACATTTGTTTGATTTAATATAGTTTGAAGATTTACTTTAAAAAAAAAACCACAGCGGTTTGAATTGCAAAAAAGTCACATTTAATGTTTTTAGTAAAACAAAAGGTTTTTAGTAAAACAAAAGAAAAAGAGAAATATGTGAAAAATAAGTAAAGTACGGAGTAGTTTTGTTGAGCAATTTTAAATAATCACCTTAAAAGGTAACTCTAATCTTACTCAAAAGATAATTCCTTCCCGATTGAAGTTTTAGCTGAAATTTGGTATGAGTAAACTAGACTTGATGAATAAGATGCTCAAAAAATTTCATCAAAAAATTCCACCTGGAACCAACCCAAATGGCGACGGTCGGACAGAGCCTCCTAAAAAGGGCTTATTTGACCTTTTTTGGTTAGTACATGGGACTATTTGCACCTTTTCCCTTTTAATTATGACACAATTCAGCTCAAAGGATCAAAAGTCATGTATCTGTTAAAAAATGGTTGATAATAAAAAAAATATGGAGTGTGTTATCTAAAAAGCTTCTAGATATTTTTAAATTTATGACTCATGCAGACTAACCTATACTTAAACAGACCAGACTAGTTTTAGATTAAAAATATCCAAAGTTTATACATCTACCAGATCGGACCAGTTCAGACCAAACCAGATCTAAATAGATCACATTAGGATAGAGCAAAAAATTCGATCCACTTAAATGTGTAACTCAGTTGGTCGAATAGTGAGAAAGTTAGAAATTAAAAGAGTAACTCTTGAAGTTTATCCGATTATTATTACAATAAAAGATGCGTCCACCTAATTATTACGGAGTATTTTTGTAATTACTGCATACTGCGTTAAAAGTTGAAATTTTATCAGCTATCCATTAATAGTACTCCTAGAAAAATCGATATCCTTTTCGACCTTTAGCCAAAAAAATAAATATAATATTGTTATTATTAAAATCTGTATCTTCTCCGGATCTGCTTATTATAGCACTTAAATACACAGGGGTGTTTTCGTTCTTCAGAAACAGAGAGATCTGTTGGGCTCTCTTTTTTCTCTCTGTTTCCTGACGTTACTGTCTCCAAACGGTGATTGTTTCTCCGAATTGCAAATTGGTCTCCATCCTCACTGTTTCCCAATCTGTATTTGTTATCAAGTGTCTTCATTATTTCGTCATGGCGTGTCTTTCTTAACCCGACCCTGTGTTCATATTGGATCTGTATCGATCTTTTCTGTTTGAGGTCCCAATCCTTTTCTCCAAATCGATGTTGACAGCGTGCATTTTATTGAGAAATTTCTTTCAGGGGCTATTCAATTTAGGATTTATCGCGCATAAACAATGTTATTTTATGTTTTTGTTCGTCTCTCGTTTGTCAGTTGGATCTTTGGGTTTTCCCCTTTGAGTTCTTAATCTTCGTTTGATAATTTTGAATCTCTCTGAATCTATTTCCGGATCATCTTTTAATAATCATTTATTTGTTTGTTGCACATATATACCTCTGCATGGTCAATGCATGTAACATTGTAACCTCTCGGGTTTATGTTTTGTGCATATGCTATTGTGTTTTATGATCAAGGTTTTGTAGCACCATTTCAATTTGTTAAGGTCAGGCGGTTGGCTTTGTCGGTGGTATAGCTGTTTTATATCTTCCATTTTGTTAATTGTTTCTTCTTTAACAGCTTATATCTATGGCCGGTACTCCTTTATGGACTATGGTTGTGGACTAGTTTTCCTATTATGATCCAAATCAACTATTGAATTTTAAATTGGCTTTGTAATTTGTGCTGATCTGAGTATTTTGGTGTGAAATTCTGAATTTTGATTTGTTAATTCCTCCTCTATTTCCATCATTAGTTGTTTCTTCACTTTAATCATTTAATGTTCTTATATCCTGTAAGTGGTTTTTCATTAATTAAGTAGTAGTTTACACGTTTCTTATACTTCTTCTCTGTGTTTTGTGCAACAGGGATCCAAGGCACTCAAAGGAACTCTGAAATTAGCATCTCATTGAAATCATGGGTGCAGATGTGGAAACTAAGTTGGCTCATGTCTCGGCTGAGAATGGAGGTGACAACAACGGTTTTTTGAAGGAAAATGGTTCTGTACCTAATGAGACCATAAAATTTGGTTCCCATGGAACAGAGGAACCAATCAAGGAGGAGATTAAAAGTGCTCCTACAATCAACCTTCCCAAGGATGCCGTTGTTGAGGATTGGCCTGAACCTCAGCAGATCCATTCGTTCTATTTTGTTAAATATCGATCGTTTGAAGACCAGAAGCTGAAGGCCAAAATTGAACTTGCTGAGAAAGAACTTCAAAAGATTTACCAAGCACGAAGCAGGATGATTGATACTTTAAGACCCAAAAAGGTATGTTTTTAAGACTATTTGAATAATGTCAGTTACGACGTATCTGTTTTGATTTTCACAGTGATGAAGTGGTTCACTGTCAAAGGTGAAAGCCTATTTTCTTCAAAAAAAAAAGAAGGTGAAAGCCTATTGCTCACATGTTGGCTATTGGAATTTATTTTGGAAAGAATTTTATTCTATGAATTACTCTGACCTGACATATAAGTTCACATCATTTCAGTTTGTGGTGCACTCAAGTAGTTTTTGTTGTTAAACACAGAATTTCACATTACTAATGCTTTGAGATTCATTCTAAATGATTGATCTAACTGGAATGGTAGCTCAAGACCTTATAGGTGGGGTTGTATTTTCATGCTCCTTCCGTCCCAAAATGTTAGATGCATTTGGATTTGGCACAAGTTGAAGAAAATAAAAGAGACAATCGTTATTCTAGTATTGTACCCTTCAAAAGGATAAAAAAAGTAATACTCCCTCAGTCCCAAATTGTAAGATACATTTACTATTCACTTGGTCAACATAAATCACTCAATCTTTTATTTTATAAATCAAAAGTTTATGAAGTTTGAATTATTTTTTGCAGGTTTTGTAGCGGTTTTAATGTAGTTTTTGAATATGTAAATTTTATTTTCTAGAACTAATTTGAGTTTTGACAGGGATCAATTTGCTTTATTGTCAGTCAAACATCAAACATCGTAAACCGATATGTATCTTACAATTTGGGACTGAGGGAGTGCATGTACTTCAAAAAGTAAAAAGTGGTGATATGAGATATAAAAGGATAAAGTTGGAAAATAAAAAAGGATACAAAAGTAATACATTTACTTAAAAAATTGTATACATTTTATCCCTGTTATCCTTCAAAAGGATAAAAAAGTAATACATGTACTTCAAAAATTGTATATTATTGGGTCAATTTTTTTTGTAAATGTAGCTTGCACAATGGGACAAACAGAGTATATTATCCAATGCTGAATACTTTTAACATGTTGCCAAATGGTCTTATTGCCTTCTGCTAGTTTATGAACTTATTGTAAATGTATATATATTCGTTTACATTGTTTTCTTAAGCTTGGGGGCTTACTTTCAATAATCAAAATGAGCTGCTTGGAACTTTATAATTAATAAATAATGCCTTTTATTTACAGGCAGCTCGGTCGGAGCTAACTAATGAAAGGAAGTCTTTAAGTGCTGAAAGACAGCAGTACAGTTCACAGATGGATGAGAAAAGAAAAGTGATGGAACCTTTGCAGCAAGCTTTAGGCAAGTTGCGAGGTGGTGGAAGCAGAGACAGAGAAAGGGGACCTGTTATTTTTTCATCTGAAGTTGAGCTCAATAATTATGTAATCTCTCTGGCGTTTCACTTCGTTTGAATCTGTCCTTCCATGCTCAATGTAATTTTTGTCTTTTAGTTATTGAGCATAATATAATTTCCTCTATGTATAAGCAGATTAAAAGTTTGGAGTATCGTATTCAACATGAAAGCATACTTATGAGTGAAGAGAAGCAAATTATTAGAGAAATTAAACAACTTGAAGGCACGCGGGAGAAAGTTATCGCAAATGCTGCTGAGAGGGCAAAAATTGAGGAATCTATGGGTGAAAAAGAGTCTATCCAAAGCCAGGTCAAGGTAAATGTAACTTTCTTTAGCAAGACATGGTTGATGTTAGCGAGTCTGTGAGTGATTATTGTTGTTTTTGTTGTTGTTGTTGTTATTTATATTATAATGGGTGTGCAAACCATTGTGGCCTACTAAGCCCATGAGCTTTGAAGTTGATGACTAGGCATTCCCTCCAAAATCGATCATGAGCCTTGAGTAGGAGTGGACATAATGGTTTGGTATGAATGAGCTCAACCAAACTAAACCAAACTCTCCTAACTGAATCCAAATCATATGCAATTCGGTTTTAGTTAGATAAAAAATTTCCTAACTATATTAATTTGAACCAGACAGAACTTTCCAAACAAATCAAACCAAACCAAATGTAGTTTGGTAATCATTCTCCCAGCCTGTTGAGGTTAGGTGAGTGCTGATTGTGTTTTTCAAACCAGTTGAGTACTAACAAGTAACAAGTAGGGGTTCAAACCAGTAGCTCTTCGTTATTCATTGTTTTTCATTTCTTTTTGTAGCTTATAGGTGTTGATCTGGATGGTGTTCGGAAGGAGAAACAAGCTCTTAGTGCTAAGCTTAAGCAAATTGATGATGAGCGTGATGCCTTGAATAAAGATATTGATTTGTTGGAGAAGGAATTGGATGCATTGGCTCAAGAAAGGGACAAAATCAATGAAAGCATTGGGGATTTGAAGAAACAGCGTGATCAAGGGGTATGCATGTTCTTCTTGATCACTATATAGACAAAAATGTATAATTATTTAAATATGTATGTCTTTATGTTGTAATATCATTTTTCATAAACCATTTTGTGTTATCTTTCATTTGGACTCATTTATAAACTCTTTTGGTTCTGTTTCCCCCCTCCAGAATTCTTCATTCTTCAAGTACAAGAAGCTCAATTTTGAAGCCAGACAACTTGCCAACAAGAAGGATATCGCTGCTCTGAAAGTGCTTAGTGAAACAGAGGTTTTTATTCCATTGCCTTTTCCTATTCTGTTTTACATCATTTTTAAATTCTACAATTAAAAAGGCTTTTTTTATTTATTTTGACAAGGTCGAGAAATTCATGACCCAATGGTGCAATGACAAGTCATTCAGAGATGACTATGAGAAGAGACTTCTACAATCACTTGATATGAGGCAGTTGAGTAAGGATGGTAGGATGAGAAACCCTGATGAGAAGCCACTGGTGTTGCCGGAGGCACCTCCCGCAACAACCGTGGCATTGTTAAAAACAACAAACCAGAAGCCATCAAAGGAAGATTCAGCTCCTCCACAATCTGATGCTTCTCTCCCAGTCTCAAAAGCTCAGAAAGAAAAGAATAATAATAGTAGTAATAGTAATAACAGCAAACAACCAAAGGAAGAGACAAACAAAACCAAAAAGAGTTCATCCTCGGGGGTAAATGTCCATAAAGATGATGAAGAAGAAATCCCCGGGGTAACAGATGTCTCCAAGGATAAGGATTCAAGTGTTAAGGAGGACAAAGTTGATGAAGAAGCTTTGAGGCAGGCAAAAAGAGAGGAAGAGCTTGTGAAATATCGGGAAGCATTAGAGAGGAAGAAGAAAAAGGAAGAAAAAGCAGCTGCTAAAGCACAACTAAAAGCTCAGAAGGAAGCTGAAAAGAAGCTCAAGGCAATCATTCTTCTCTTTTCTGTTTTCATTCTTCAAAGTAAAAAATTTCACTTTTAGTTCCACACAACTATTAGGCCATTACCACTTTTTGTCCCCAATTTTTTGCAACTTATGGCCCTTCCGATCTCTTATTCAGTCAATTTCTGGTTGATTTTTTCCGTACAAGTGGCAGGGAAGAAAAACTTTAAAAAATCACAGTCAGGCACCTAAAGTGGGAAAGGTGAAAGTTATGGTTTAAAAATGGCAATGGTCTAATACTCTTATACTCCAATGGCTAAGAATGTACTCCGTATTTTTTAATTTCATTTTGGAATAAATAAATTGGTCTCACAGGCTGTGATTAATGATTTCTGCAGGACCGTGAGAGGAGGGCCAAAAAGAAGGGGGGTGGAGGTGGTAATGCCCCCGATGAATCAACAGAGGAGGCAAGTGAGATAACTACTGAGGATGCTGAACGGGAGAAGTCAGAGGAGAAAGTTGAGACTGCTATTGAACCGAAGAGCAAAGAGAAGAAGGCGAACACTGTGAGGCAGAGGACACGTGGAAAAGGATCATCTGATATTCACAAAGTCATACTCAAACGTAAGAAGGCTATGAACTATTGGGTATGGGCTGCTCCGGCTGCAGCCGTTGCAATTTTGTTACTCTTAGTTATAGGGTACAAGTTTTTTGCCCCGTGAAGCCTATTGCTGGTCGAAAGATGAGTCAAAAACTTCCATTTCCATTTCTCTGGGTAAGACCGAGTCGGATTTTCCCTGTTTGTTTGAGTATTCATTTACTTTGAGAGGATCAGATATACGCATCTTATTTTATTGTTTATGTTTTGAAATTTGACTAGTTTCTCAACTCTATTTAGATTTATGTGTTGGAGTATACTAAAAGTGACATTTTACTCGAGAACCAAAAGCATTTTTTACTTCTGTATGTATGTATTGGCAATAATTTTATGTGTATCATTATCACTTTCATTTTACTCGTTTTATTTCTCTATACCAAAGGTAGCGGCTATTAATCTCGGCCAGTCAAACAAATCATCTCTGTGCACTACCATCGACTCCATCGAGTAAAGGTGGGGGTGGGGGAGAATTGGAGAAGTGGAGATATTAGTAAAATATGCCCCCACTAGCTTTTTGACTTTTTGAGAATATGAGTTTTAGGGGAATGAATGAAGATGGTTTTTGGTTTATCAATAGGTAAGTTTAAATTAGTAAGTTTGAAGTTATTTTTTTGATTAAATTATTGCAGACAATCAATTTATTAATGATATATATATATATATATATATATATATATATATATATATATATATATATATATATATATATATATATATATATATATATATATATATATATATATATATACTAGTGGTACGACGCGCGATGCGCGAAGGGATGATGCCCAAAGTTATTCTGACAAGGTTAACATAATGGAATGTTAATGATGAATATATTTAAGTTGTTTGAAATTGCACATAAACTTTATGTATATTTTTTGCCATAACAAATGATTAAAAAATGTGAGACTTCTTTTTTCCCGTAACCGGAGCAAGTTAAGGATCGTTCCCAAACACGCTATGAGAATATAAGAATATAATTTCAAATATTAATAACAAGAACTTTGGACTTAAATATGAGAAGATAAAAATTTACATAAAATTAATTTTTTATTAGGAGAAAATATAAATTTACATAAAATTGAGTTTTTATCTTAGTAATACAGTTTAATAATGTTATTATTTTTTCAAGTATTAATAATATGAACTTATGCTTGTACATTTATGATAATATAAAATAACAACAACAATAAGAAATAGAGTTTTTGCCATTTTTGGTCCCACGAATATTATGTCAATGACGCTTTTGGTACTTGACTTCTAATTTTTCCCTTTTTAGTCCTTGACTATTGTGCTAGAGACACTTTTAGTCCCCAACTTCAAGATTTCCCACATTTAGTCTCTGAGTATTGTCAAACTTACACTTTTAGTCCTCCCATTATGATTTTGACACCATAAGTGAAGGACTAAAAATGTCACTATTATAATAGTTGAAGGACCAAAAGTGTCACTTTTATGAAAGTTGAAGGACTAAATATGGAAAATTTCAAAGATAGGTACTAAAAGTGTCTCTAGCGCAATATTCAAGGACAAAAAATGGAAAAAATCAAAGTCGAGTACTAAAAGTATCAACAACATAATAGTCGGAGGACTAAAAGTAAATAAAACTCAAAAGAAATAATAGTAATAATATTGATAATAATAAACTAATAATAATAACAATAAAAGTAATAAATCATGTTTGAATTTTTTTCATCTGATTTGATTTGATCTATATCTTTATGATCTAAATCTATTTGATGTGATTTGATTCGAATTTTATGATCTAACACAATATATGATTTTTCTGATTTGATCTGATTTGAGAATAATATCTGATCTGAACGAAATGAGAATAAACAATAAGCAATAAGAATACTATGACTCTCAAAAGACAATTTTGGAGGAAGCGGTCCAACCCAGCTGGTAGTCGACTCACTCTTCCTTATGGGAGGTCCCAAGTTCAATTTTCAATGGAGTGAGATTGATCCCAGTTTATCCCAGGCCTAACAAAGAGATAAAACCAAATCGTTGCGACCACAAGAGCTTTAATAACAAAGGAGCAGTTTCAAAGTAATCATTTTTGCAATCCATGCTGAGATTTTGCTGGGTATCAGTAATTTCATTCCGAAAAGAGAAAATGAAAATTTATCTTCTATGTAACAAATAAGCAACCTAGAAAAAAATATAAAATAAATGAAAACTATAAATGAAAATAAAAGCAATCAAGCATATAGAATAATAAAAAAAGCTAAAGGATAAAATGCTATGTGGAAGCTCTAACGTTTTCTGAACTTAATTAACTAACGGAGTTAGGTGCAAACATATTATAATGATGAAGGTGTAACAACTAAAACAAATTGTACAAGTATATCCTGCATTAGTGTTACACCAACATTTTTATCATTCCTAAAATGCCCTAACTATCATTGGTGTTTATAAGTTTTTGATATATAGAGAGAGAGAGAGAGAAATCATGATATAACATATTCAGGCGTTCAGGCAATTTAGTCGTTTCAACCAAAATTTCATCAATTTTTCAGTTGATCCAACTAATTTTGATGTTATCAAACGGACGGTTAATTTTGTAGAAAAAAGTCAAAAATGAACCCTCAAATGACTAAATATAAATGTTTTTAATATTAGGACCAAATTCAGACCATAATTGCACGATCGGTCCAATTATATAAGAAAGTCACAGTACTCACACTGGTAGCTCATTTGATTGAGTGTTGGGAAAGTCAGAAGATTGACCAGAGATCGAAACCCGCAGCGATTGTGTGGAGTCGTGGAGATTACAACTCATGTGTGCTGAATTGGATCTATGATGCGCACGAGTACAAGTTCTATCACAAATGAGATGACTGAGTAATCGCGACTTATGACCTCCCAAATACCATGTCGGACCGGGGCATGGGGCCCTTGGGATTGATGATCCAACCTTTTGGAAGATATAATTCTTCGAAGAGAGCTGCTTGGGGTACCCCAATTTGTACCCCAAAGTGTACACCGTCTGTGTACACAGACATTTGGGTAGAAAGTTCTGCCCTCTTTCAATTGGGGTACAATTTGGGGTACCTATAGAATTTTTGTTCTTCGAATTGTGTCACTTACCACTTTAGAACCCGCTCAAACAGGTGACCGTTCAATTGTGTTACCTACCATTCTAGTCCAGTTCCGAAACAGATCCGAACTCCGCATAGTTCCAACTTTTGAACATCCAACTTTTGACTAAATTATTCCCTTTGTCATACGATATTTGGCCAACTTTAACCACTTATTTTTTTATTTTAAATGGAAATTAAAAACTTTGACAGCTAAAAAGGAGGAGTTTGACCAAGTGTTGAGGGACGGAGAGAATATCATATAACTACTTATTTAGGAGGAATCGGTCTCCTTTAGACCATTCTTCTTTTTTGTCAAAAACCAACTACAAATTATACCAAAATTGTCAGAATAAGTGGTCAAAATGTCCGCAAGCAACATGTTATGACATATCTATAGCCTTTTTCTATAGGATTGCAACCAAAAGTATTAATTATTAAAACTAGAGGCGAAGAGGATATGGTATCACAGATCAAGTATATGGTGTATAAAGTACTCTATTCTATATACCCTGTCCATATGATTTGTTTTTGAAACTCTGGGGCGACTGGGGTGTGTACACCCTTTTTTGTCATAGTTTGATGGCTGATTCTTTGTGGTGAATAGCTACTCTATATGGTTAGCAATTACGTAGATGGGTTAGGGCACCTTGCGTGGGATTACCTACCGTTTTTGCTTTTTGTATATCATGTACATAAACATTCTTGGATGATTCTATTTATACATTTACATTTTATCCAAAAAAAATTAAAACTAGAGGCGGTAAAAATTGAAATGACATGAGATGTATATGATCAAAAGTGAAACTAATTCAATTATAAACGCCATGTGCTAAATCCACCATTCTGCAGCCTCTCCCTGAATAGGTTTACCTTAATTACATTTTGCTAATGTGAGAGAAGAGAGTTGAACGAAGGAGACAATAAAACATGGAGTGTCGTGGGTGGAGAGAAAAGAACAGAAGGTCAACTGGTTAAGGGAAGAATTTAAGTAGTGTTTGTGCAGTGTTTTCTTCGATTCGTGGAAATGGGTGTATTCCCCATTTGGATTCCACTCATCCATTAAATGCTCATAAATATTGGGTACCCAACAAGTGACTTCCTCAAATATTATCTTTCTTTGAGCCATTCATATTCAGAATATATGCAACAGTTAATACCAAGAAGTGAAGATAATAAATTTGTAGGACGAAAACATAGTCCGTCTCATTTTACATGTCTTACTTTTGTTTTTAGATTGTTAAAAAAATCATTTTTTATGAATTAATTTCATTTTTGGTCCTACGAGTTTTATGTCATTTCAACATTTAGTACACATCTTTCATTTTGCTCACTTTTGATCTTAACTAATGTTTCTTGACCATTTATTGTCTTTCTCTGGCAATTTTAACCACTGCAATTGTTGCCGGAAGAACTATATATGAACTAAAACACAATAGTCATGTACCAATAGTGGTTAAAGTCGAAGACGTGAATCAATTATGGAATCAGTGTGATATTCGTAGCACCAAAAGTGAAATTTATTCTTTTTTATTTGGAAAAGAATAAATGGTTTTAAACTTTCACTTTATTATACTCAAACTTCAACAATAATTTTTACCTTTTAATTCACTTTATTAATAAATGTGTCAAATTAAAACAAAACACATAAAATGGGAGAGAGGTAGTACTATAGTATTCTTTCAAAAATTTGACTAAACATCATTTGAAACCCAATCCATATTAGTCATGGACCGGTCCTGGGCCGGGCCGGGCCGGTCCTGGGCGGGCTTTTTGGGTTTGACTTCGGGCCCGGAACCGGCCCGGGTTCCCACCGGGTCTGGGCCGGTCCCCGAGCTTCATTTTTTTTTTTTTTTGCTTTTCTACTCAACCCCCGACCCCCCCCCCCCAACCTGGGAAAACAAAAAAATGAAAAAACAAAAACAAAAAAGGCATGAACCGAGCCCGGCCAGTTTCTATTTTGGGTGACCCAAGCCCGTCCCGTATAACCCCCGGGCCTACCCGGACCGGTCTCTGGGCGGGCCACCGGGCCGTGCCTGGACTAAAACATAATTTGAAACCCAATCCATATTAGTCATGGACCGATCCCAGGCTGGGCCGGGCCGGTCCTGGGCAAGCTTTTGGGTTTGGCTTCGGGCCCGGAACCAGCCCGGGTTCCCACCGGGTCCGGACTGGTCCCCGGGCTTCTTCATGTTTTTTTTTTTTTTGCTTTTCTACTCAACCCCCGACCCCCAAAACACCCAGCCCAACCCGGGAAAACAAAAAAAAATGAAAAACAAAAACAAAAAAGGCCCAAACAGGGCCCCGGCCGGTTTCTATTTTGGATGACCCAAGCCCGTCCCGTATAACCCCCGGGCCAGGCACCCGGACTGGTCTCAGGCCGGGCCACCGGGCTGGTTCCAAACAGTGCCGGGCCGGGCCGGGCCTGGCCGGACCACGGGCCGGTCGGCCCAGAACCGGTCCATGACTAATCCATATTGCCCCGCTAGTGAAACCACAATTTAGTACTGCACTACTGCGTACATACTCTACACGGTGGGCTTTGACTCCTTTGAGTAGAACTGTAGAAGGCTCTGCCAAGGCTTAGAAATCTCCAACTTTAAGAATTAAGAACCATTTCTCTAATTATTAGAGTACGAAATTTGAAAGAAAAACATTCTTTCTTGAAAATATTGTCATAAAACTTTATCATTAATGTGTTTTATAAGTGTACTCTTAAATTTAGAAATGAAGGAAATAAGTTAATACTCCCTCCGTAACTTAAAAATCTTCCCACTTTCCCTTTTCGTCCATTACAAAAAAAATCTTCCCATCATACCCTCAATAATTCTTAAAATAATACACTATTACAACTATTTTTTTTGGATTTATCCTACATTCCACCACATTATTCCACTATTTTCCCATCATACCCTCAATAATTCATATCATCTTTCACTATTCTTAATCTACCTACTTTTGAAAAGTGGAGATTTTAAAGTTACGGAGGAAGTACTACGTAATGTATAAACACAAATTCAGCAAATTCGATCAATAAATTACAATGAGCTATATCTACACTTTTTATCACGAGATTCATTAATTCAATTAGATAAGTTGGGGTCCCGTGAGAAATGCAAGTTGAAAGAGATCGGTTGCAATCAGGAACTAAAATCCAGCAAACTCGAATCAACTAACCAGATTAGAAGTTAAGTTTACAATACAAGATGAGCCTGAAAGGAATCAATCTGAAATAAATTAAATTAGCATAGACTAATGGCTACACTGCTCTTTCATTAGGTACAATCACTAAGCTAATAGCAAGTTAAGGAGATGGGATCAATACACATCGGCAAGCTGAGGAAATTTGTGACCTAAATTTCTTAAATATTAATACACCTGAAATATATAACAGAACAAACTCCAGGATGTGAAATAGACAACGTGAAGAGGTCTTGGTAGCACACCTGGTTCCTGGTAATGTTCATTCACATGACATTCCAGTATGCAAGTCCACTGGCTGCTCCAACAATTGGGACTTTCTTCTCTTCTTACCAACAGGAGTGCATCTACTTGTCCTTCTGCCCACCTGCAAAGTGAACCTACGGTTTGAGTTGTTGGAACCGGGAGGAGGAGGAGATGAACTACCAGGACGGTTCTCTTTTCCACCCCTCTTGTTCTTCTCACCTCTGGGATGCCCTTTCAATATGGGAGATTTTGCTTTGTTCTTTGGTGATATGTGAAGTTTGACTTTATCCCTCATTTTCACTCCCCCCCGAAGGAGTCGGACGTAAAATGGGTTTGCACCAGTGTACACACTTGACTCTCCTTCTGCTCCATCTCTTTGCAAGTCTACATCCCCATTATTGACCTTTGCGTTGAATAAAAAAGATGGAAACCACCATTCATTAAAAGTCTAAGTTTGAAGCAAATAGTCTCCACACATAACAAAATTCCGATCCTGCTTTGTTTTGGCTTTATATTACCCAACTTTTGCTAAACAATAACTACTATCACTGTGCTGGATGAATCTATGACCAATGATGGAAAAAGTAATGCATAAGTTGCATTTGGCCTGTAGAAGCGGCAAATAAAGCTCAAACAGGAAAATAGACCTGGCGGTGGATAGGCAGAGATAGTAAGTTAGTGACGGGCAGTTTAATTGGCAGTTTAAAAGCGGAAGCTTTGGGGGTTGGGGAAGCCATTATGTGAAGGCTGTTTCTATGTCCAGTTGTGTATTTAATTTTGATTTCCCACCCGATACTATTGTAAGCCAATTGGCAAATGATTTGTTAAATTCCAATTTCAACGACTTACCATTTAAAAAAAAAATAGCCTTATTTATAGATATTATATTTTTTTATTTCACTTAAATATGGAATTTCCCATCATTTGCAATGGAGAAAAGACTCACTATTTTTTTTGCTTGGGAATATGATGGAATATAGAAAAATGGCTCACTAAACTGTTTGCGTTTCTTTGTTATGAAGCAACATTTAGTCCATGCAATTTTCGACATGATTTTCACTATGGGTCATCCAGAAACAGTCTCTTTGTGCTTTAGTACAGGGGTAAGACTGCGTACATCCAACCCCTCTTACCCCACCGTAGGTGGGAGCCTTTGCATCACTGGGGTGGTGGTGATGATGACGACTTAAATATGGATTTTTAAGTGCTTTTTAAAAAGATAATTAAGCAGCTCCTCCAATTAAACCACAACTTTAAATAAGCAATTTAGCATGTTCAGTTAAGCCTTGCAAAACTGAGTTTTTAATGTCTAAACCAGATCCAAGTCGTGAAATAAAAGAGGGCTTACTAGTTGCAGAAGTGCAGAGAATGTCCGGGCAACATTATGCTTTTCTTCTCCGCTGACAATATCAGAAAATGAAACACCATTTCCACTGTTTTCTTTCAAAGACAGCTTGCTCAAAACCTTATCACCATACTCATGAATATCAAAAGGCGTGTGTAATTCCTGTCATGAAAACAACACCATTGGTTTGTGATATAAAATAAAAGTGTCATGTATTACAAGTCAACAATGCAGTGGGGACAAGAAGAGAAGACAATGGACACACTTGTTCATTTAAGTTCTGCTCAATCCTCTGCTTCCATGTTGAAACCCTAGCAGCCATTTCAGTCTGGCGTTCTGTTTCAGCAAGGTTTGCAAGTAGAGAATCCTATACATAACAAACAACAAAGTGACAATGTGTTACACTATAGAAGTTTATGTAAGAGATTCATACTAATCCGAAATGCTCATCAAGCATTCTTGGGAACTGAATATACTTGATAGCTTTCGACCATGGCAGTCCTTTACTGAAACAGTGAGCTCTGTTGCGATAGGTAGGATCCTAACAAAAAACATTCTAATGGAAATGGCAGATGACCGTATTAAAGTATTCCATGTTTACTCCAATGTAATAGCACTATTATTTATTATGAGTGTTTAAGCACAAATTAAATCTCTTTTGTCCTCACCAAATGGGAACGGCAAAGATCTTCCAGAGTTCGATGAGTATTAGGATCTTCAAGACCTTCGTGGTCAAAAGGAACACCATCACTTCCATGCTGCGTAACCTTATCAGTGTTCACATTTTCATCTTCATTCGGTTCAGCAGTCTCAGGTGTGTGAAAGTCAGGTGATCCAAAATGGTAATTTGTGTTGTCAAAGTCATCATCCGCGTTGTTTTCAGTACTGTGAAAGACATCACCATCCATGTTTTCCCCATGAAAGAGAGACTCTCGCAACTGAAAACAGTAGCAAATTCTAGTAAGCCAGCCCATTTTTGTGGCAAAAAATTGTAGGGTTTATTAATGCAAGTAAAACACACCTTTTCATACGGTAGCGGAGACTGGGATTCATCCATCTTCTTTGTGGCAAAACACTTCTCCCATATATCATTAAGGTGCAAACTAATGTTTCCATGTGGTCTTGCAAGAGGAAACTGAGTGGTCACATGCATATGTTTTCTGGAACCCGTACCTTGACTTCTTTTAGCTTTCACTGCTTGAAAGAGTGCAGTTAACTGAGTGAGATAAAATAAACAAACAAATAATTAAGTACGGAGTAATAAATAAATAACAGGAAGTGAGAAGAAAGAATATGTTTACAATCTAAAAAAGACAACCTCTCCTGTATGGCTTATCTTTAAAATTTCCAGGCTCATGGGGATTTAAGGGTTTCCATGGATTTAAATCATCATCTTCATCTGAGTCACTGAAATCCGTTGGCTCTGAAAACACATCTTCCGCCCCATACAACCCTTCATGATTTTCAGGCATATGGTCATTTGTTCCGAAATCATTATTAATTCTTGGAGACAAGTTTATAACAGGTTCTTGGTTCTTTCGTGTTGAAGAAGGCTTGCCAACTCCTCCAGACTGTCCTGTAAAATGTTGCACACTTTTGCGGCCTTTGCAGCTGCTGTTCAATCCTTTCCCGGTTTTGTTTTCATTAGTAAAAAAATTATCAATGGCTGTTGCATCGCATGTATCCAATAAAATAAAATCCCTGTACACATCACAGGTGGCAAGCTGCAGGAAATGAACATACATCAAAGACTTAGAAATTGTGACACTTTTGACAATGTGCACATAATTGAAACCGGCATACCAAATAGCACTCGAGTTCTCCAGCATCTCCAATTGCATCAAAGCAGTCACCCTCAAGCACAACTAGGTTTGCAGGGGCCTTAACAACGCGATTCAGTAATGCGTCTTTGGAGGTTGTGTTGTCTAGCAAGTTCTTAGGTTGCTCTACGAGAAAGATAAAATCAGCAAGATATTTATTTAGATCAACTACAATATTATCATGCACATAAATATACTACCTGGAATGTCATCTAATCCCCAAAAAGGGTCATCAGGAGCATCATTTGAACTACTTGCTTCCGTTCCGGCTGATCCATTCACCGTGCTTTGTTTCTCACTAATCATGCACACATTTATTTTTGAAGCAATAAAAGTCAATAGACAACATACTATGAAGTAATGTAACAGTATTAGGATTTGTTAAAGAAAACTTCACGACTGCATTTCTCCAAAGCTCTTTAGTGCAGAAAGTGAGCATACAGCTACCAGTGTGAAAATTTATTAGCAGGCAAACTTGATTGTCCAACGGTACTTATTGTAACACCCATATGCAAATATCAATACTTAATCGTTCTTATATTATGTCATTGAGTCATATGAAGTAGAATGACATTTCATAGTTGCACAATATAGAATAAATATTTCACTTCATAAATACAACACAAACAAGATGGCACAGATGGCACACTAGAAATTGAATAGATTAACAACCATCTTAGTCGCAAAAACAGAAACTTTTTTCAGGTGACTAATGAAATATAAACTGAAGTGGTGGGCTCATTGTAAGACAGTTATACTGCAATTAGATACATAGAATACCAATTGTCTAAATAAAATTGTACTCCCAAAATGAAACAGTTCAACAAAGGCTGTGTTATGTAAAAGGATGAAATAAAAAGCAAACCTCTTCTGAGAAATGGACTCCAAAGCAAGTAATACCAATGAATACAGGTACTCTACCTTCCTACTATACACCTGTGCAGAATCTTGAAGCAGCAATGCAGCTACATAAAAAAAAAATACCAAAACCTATAACAGAGATTAACAGATTTCTGGATAAAATAGAGTGGGGTATAAAAATATAGAAACCTTTAGAGAAGTTCACAAGATTTTGGTGGGCACCATCCCGACCAGAAACTTCGCCAGAACAAATCTCTAGTAAATAAGCTTCTAGGCTTGTTACAATATCGACTGACCAATTAGACTCAAGGTCCCGAGTTGGTTGCAAAGTGTGAATCATTCCGCTAGCATCTAGGCATGCTCTTGTTCGTTGATTTTAATTTTCCAGACCTTCCATGGCTGGTTGAATTCAACAAAGGATGAAATGCCAATGAATATATGTTCTCTACCTTCCTACAGCACATATATAGAATATAAATAGGAGGCTCTCTTCACTCTCATATCATCCTGAATCCTGCTGTTGCTGATGTCAAGTGATTAAAAGAACTCTTTGTAAGGATGAGTAGGCAGCTTCTTACTTTACTATCACATGATTTGATTTGGAAGCTAAGTTAAAATAAAATCAAGCAACTGCTCCCCGGCTTTTGCCCCACCGATGGGTGGTTTATCTTCCGGGGCAAAAAAAAAAATTGGAAGCTAAGTTAAAAATGGATTGAAAGGTGTTGCTTGAATATAATGAATGGATCCGATAAGACGTAGGAGCATAAAATTGTGGTGGGAATTTTGGAAGGAGCGTTGACGAAGCAGTGAGTGTGGTGCAAGTTTGACGGGAAGAGATGAAAAATAATGGACTAACCTCAAGGCATTAGACGAACGGCGTGGTGTAGACTGCGTCGGACCTAAGGGGAAGAGATGGCAAAACTGTATAGCGTAGTAGTGCGTACGACGACGACCGTCTGGAGATGAAGATCGGATGAATTGAATTTTTAGTACCCGTTTGGTAAAGTTGAAATGAAAATTGATTCGGTCTCTCTCCGCGCACCTAAAATTTTACAGGGCGCACCAATTATTCGCCATGAGTGGACAGTTATACCCTCTACCTTTTTTAATTATTTCACCGCAGTAGCATTGGGCGACAGGGAAAAGGAGGTCAATTTTGCTAGAGGTACATAAAGTGTACACAAAGTGTACATAGTATATATACCTTCTTTCTTTTTACCATTCCACTTTTATTTTTACCCATTTCTCTTCTCTCCTACGGAGTATTTCTTTCATTCCCACTTCTCCGTGCCCTGCGCGTATCTTTTACCTGAGCACCCTTGTTCCCTTCTTCTTCCTTCCTTTCTTTTTTTCATTCTCAATCCTTCTCCATTTTCAATTCTTCTCCCATGTAATTTCTAGCCATTTTCTTTCCTTCTCTCCATGTAGTTGTTATATACGATTCAGTTTTCAACACGATTGTCATTCTTCTCAAATTTATTCATTTCAAAATTTATTTGTGTGCCGTTTATATATATATATATATATATATATATATATATATTTGTTCTGATTTTATGTATATTGGGTATGTTATAACCTTGAATAGTTGATTAATTTGTTTTATTGTAAGAGATATGAAGTGTTAATTATTGAAACTTTAGGATAGTTACCCTACATCATTGATGCTCATAACATGTTTGTTAAAATGACTCAATGAACTTTTTATTTAAATTCATGATTTTAATTCTCATTATTGTCAATGTACATTAGTGTTTAATGAATTTTAGACTCTATTCTTTCAGTTTTCCAATTTTACTATGATATTTGATTGACTATTCTTTGATTATCATGAATTTGCTAGATGTCTTTTCTTTTAGGGCTATATATCTTTCTAATTTTTCAGATTATTATGTACTCGTATTTGTTTATGTATATTACATGTTTGATGAAATGCTTCTAAGATTTTTTGGGAGGTATAGGAACTTGTTTATTTAGACAGAATGAAACCCCTGTCACATGTAAGATAATACATACTAAATCTTTCTTCACAATGTTTTTTATATAAAGGTCAGGATTTATCCACAAATATGATAATGAGTTCAACAAGAGCAAAAAAAGTGTTCAATTAAGAGCATTTTATTTACATTGTTTTCTTCTATTAAAAAACATTTTCTTCGTGATGCAGGTGTACTCTGTAAATGCTTTTCCAACATATAGTATTTAGTATGTTTTTTTCCAACATATAGACGGTTGCGAAGAGGTTTGGCATTTGAAGGGTTTAGAGAAACCACAAAATGAAGACTGAAAGGTTATTATGGAGCATCATATCACCGTGACATAGTTTAGGATTTTGGATGTGTTTAGCTCCGGGAAAATTTCAGGCTCTGAATGTTGTAATGATCACAATTTGTTTTCCTTTGATTTCAATGTCATATATGTATTAACTTTGATAAATAGTATTCATTTATGACTCTTGTGTTAACATTTATTATCAAAGATGTATCTTATTTTGAACTATGTATTGATAAAACAAATGATTGAAAAATGAGTCAATTTGAAAATCAAGAATGATAGTTTGGTCACAGGCAATAGTCACTGAAACAGGTTAATTTGTAAAGTAAATTTGTCTGTGAAGCACACATGAACTGTTTGGTCACAGGTAATACTCACTAGGACGAGTAAATGAACTAAGTGAAATTGTTTGTGAGCCAGACATGAAGTGTCTGGTCACAGACAATATTCACTGGAATGTGTTATTGTGCAAAGTGAATTTGTCTATGAGACACACATGATTTGTCTGGTCACAAACGATTGCCATTGCGATGAATTAATGTGCTAAGTGAAATTGTTTGTAAACTAGAGATTAAATGTCTGGCTACAGGCAATAACCAGTAAAATGACTCAATGACCTAATGTGCTATGTGATATTGTCTGTGAACCAGATATGAGTTGTCTGGTCACAAGAAATAGCTACTCAAATGACCTAATGTGCTAAGTGAAATTGTCTGTGAACTAGACATTAAATGTCTCATCACATGCAATAGGCACTGGAATGACCTAATGTGCTATGTGATATTGTCTGTGAGCCAGACATGAGATGTCTGGTTACAGACAATAGTTACTCTTATGACCTGATGTGTTTAGGGAATTTGTAATTAGATCAACCAAGTGTTAGTATCTAAAACTGTAAATAGAGATAACAAATGTATAATTTCATTTCATAAATAATCAATTAGGACATGTTTACTTCACCGGTTATTAAACGGTGCTTATTAAGACCCGTGTTAATAAGCGGCGCATAAAATAAACAATGTTGTAAGACCGTGTTTACTTCAAACGGTTTAAAACACCGCTTAACATTAAAATGTCCAAAATAACCCTATACATATATATACACACAAACATTCATGAACACAAGTATATAATATAATATGTGTACCCATACCCCTAACCCCTTACCCACCCTACCTTACCCCGACCCCACCCACCGCCTACCCCTACCCCCTACCCCTACCCTACCTACCTGACCCCACCCTACCTACCCGACCCTACCCCTACCCAACCCCACCCTAACATGTCCCCACCCTACCACAACCCTACCCCCGACCCCATAGGCCCCTACCCCCATGGGCAGGGATAACAATAGGTTAAGGGCAAGGGGTAAATTCGGAAACTGAAAAAGCTTAAAGTGCCGCTTAATTAATACATGGGGGGTGGTATGCTTAATAAGCGGCACTTTAAGCACCTCTTTCGGTTAGTAAGCGGCTTTTTAAGCAGTGTGCGTGTTTACTTCACCTGTCTTACTAACCTAACTGTGACTTTAGCAGTGAAGTAAACACCTCCTTAGTTTTTCACATATGTTAAGTAGAATGTAGAATGTTATTTACTTATATTGTAAAGTTAATGTTTTTTACCGTATGTATCAAGACAACAATTACGGTAATCACTTTACCACAGGTATTATCATTTAACTATTTTACAACATGCATTTTCTTTTAACAATTTTACAACATGTATCACGCTTTAACTAGTTTACAACATCTTATTTTACAATGTAATAGTGTTTATATTTGGTTTTACTATCAAAGATATATCTTATTTTAAAATAGGTATTGATAAAACAAATGGTGGGAAATCAATTCAAACCAGAAATGAAGTGTCTGACCACAGGCAATACCTATCCGAATAGGCTACTGTGGTAAGTGGTATTGTCTGTGAACCGGACTTAAAGTGTCCTGCCACATGCAAAAGTCACTTGAACATTATTGTCCATTTCTTTGAGCCCTTTGTTGGGACCAAAGTAATATTGAAGAGTAAACATTGTTTAAACACGATTACCACTTAATAGGATATTAACACCAAGCAACAATTAAAACCAAAGCCTATAATTAGCCCTTAGAATGAGAACATATATCTTCCTTAAGATATAATAAACTAAAATAAAAGGGAAATAAAGCAACTCTAACCAATATACATGATCAATATGTCAACAAACAAGGTCAGAGTCTTATTACACAAGGCAAAAAACACTCTAACAAATAGACTTTTTTCTTTCTAACAAATGGTCTCTCTTTAGAAGTGGCAATTACATCCTTTGTCCGCCTTTTACTACTAGAACTAGCTAAGATATCAAAGTCCAACCACATGTGAGCTAAGACTTTGTGCTTGCCCCATATATATACCGATCAGTAGAAAGAGGTAAACAGCAAGTGAACAATCATAGTAGCTTGCTCACATAAGGTAACACTCCACTGATAGTTGTGCTTGCCCCAATTACAGTTAACACCTCTGAACAAAACCTGATAAGAAAATGAGTAAGTAAAACGATATGCACCAACGATAATGGAGCACTTCTTAAAAATGTTGTAATTTTAGCCTGAGAGTAATATTAATCTCAATTAATGGAATGTTAATACCACATATAATAAACATTATTAGTTAATTAATTAATATCATAATTACAATGACATTCTTACTATGCTTATGTTTCATAAAGTGAGATGTACCAACATCAAGAAACTCATACCACTAAAAGACAGTTTTTAAATAGGAATTAAATATGCAGAAACTTTTATATACGGAGTATATAAATAGGACATATAAAAAGTCGATGAGATTTAGTAGAGAAAAATGTCTTAAACAACAATACAGTGACATTCAAGGCCTCACAAAATAAGCTCTTAAATAGCTTCAGGTAGCAATTCTCATCACTTGTGGTTAAACCTCTATTGTTAGGTTCCCAACATGCTGTGTCCCAACCAAGTTTTTTACCAAAGAATGAAGTGCATGGAAAGAAGATTCTTGACATATTATTATGCTTCAATATTGAATAACAGAATTCATTCAATCATTTCAACTAAAATGTAATGGGCACACAAATGAAATATGATACTTCAACTATAATTTTAGTAGTTAATGTCACAAACAACCATGTATACAACAATACATTTTTGTCCCATTGCAATTAAGAAGTGGAGCATTATAGAGCTGTCAGCCATTACTCATGATCTCAATTCATTTGATTTGCAACGACATGGTTACGAGTTTCTTAAACACTAATGCACATTAATAAAAACGACAACAAAATCATGAATTTGAACAAAAAGTTCATTGAGTTATTTCAATAAACATGTTATGGGCATAAATGAACTAGAGTTATTATCCTAAAATTTGGATAATTAACACTTCATATCTCTTACAATAAAATAAATTAATCAACTATTCATGATTATAACATACCCAATACAGTGAATAATAAATGTCACCAATCCATAATCATGAAGCCAAATAGTCATACATTTAACACTAGTAACATACATATAATCTGAAAAATTAAAAACAAAGATAGCCCTAAAAGAAAAAACATCTAGCCAATTCATAATAATCAAATAATAGTCAATCAACAATTAGTATATCATAGTAAAACTGGAAAGTCGAAAAGATAGTCTAAAACTCATTAGAAACTAATGTACATTAA